GATAGTAGTCTGCCCCCAACACCGGGTTAAGAGCAGCTTCCCTAGGAGACCTCCGAATTATGAAATGCCTTTCGTGGGACTCGATCCCACGACCCCAATGTTAAGAACCTTGTGCTCTACCAACTGAGCTGGATGGTCATTTCTGAAAAACCAGATAAATAATCTGCTACAATTTTTTAAAGTTAACTCTAAGGATGAATAAAAGGTACATCAAAGTCCAAGCCATCAACTAGGATAAATAAATCCAGTGAAACAGGATTCTTGTTCGTGTACCCTCTAAGGACAAAATATAGGGTTTGGAAACACATACTTTGACCTCATATAAATTATCGTCAATAATTTTGAGTAAATAAAATAAATATCAATATTCGGTGTGCATTTGTCTCAAATCTCTCGTCACCTCGTTATAAATATTCACTTATTTTATCTCTGCTCATCAATTCCGTTATACTTTCTCCAAGTCGATTAAAATACGTTTTAGACAATCTTCATTCAAAGTTGAAGAATAATTTAAGTACACTTCTCATGTCTTTGTATCTCAGGCAGCACAGTTTGTTAGTGTTGAAACCTAAAAAAGAATATCTTACCCTTTAACATTGGGACTACTTTATTATGATAGTGAAAGAAAGACGACACTCTTAGATTTTATTCATTAACCTGTAATATCCTGTAAAGAATCAGAGAGATTTATACAAAGGAAAGAGCATAGCTAAGGAGGTGAACAGACTAACAAAAAGCCCTAACCGTTCTCCAAACCTTGCTAGCAATGATAACAGATGCCTAACAAATCTATGAGCATCTATAACACTCGCAGCTATAGCAATATAGTAGACTCATAATATTCTCCCTACTATCTTACTCTTCATCATTGATGCAAACCTGCAAAAAGAAAAAACAAAAAAACAAACAAATAACACTACTTACCAGCATCCTCCATACGTCGAACAACTAACTTATCTCTGCACTGAGTGAAGAACAACCCTGACAATGGTTTAGTCATCACATCAGCCACTTGTTCACACTGAAACTTCATTTACCTAAAACAATCCTGGCATAACCCTTTACCTAACAAAAAACAAGTCCATCTCAGCATGTTTAAACTTAGAATGTAGCACTGGATTAGCAAACATTGCCACTGCACTAGAGTTATCGCACCACATAACAACTTTACGATCAAGAACAACATGAAGTTCTCGCAACAGAGATTCAAACCAAATCACCTCAGTTGTAGCACATGCAACACTTTGGTACTCTGCCTCAACAGTAGACCTGGACACGACCTGTTGCTTCCGAGAAGACCACGACATAGGATTACCTCTAAATTAAATGCAAAACCCCAAATTTGAGCCTCGATCGTCAACATTAGACCCCCAATCAATGTCTATAAACCCTGTGATGGACAACTGAGCATTGGTAGTAAATTTTAGTCCATAATCAAATGTACCCTATAGATACCTCAAAATACGCTTAACAACAACATAATGTTCATCTAACAAATTCTGTAAAAATTGACAAGCACGATTAACAGCGAAGGAAATATCTGGCCTTGTAATGGTCATGTATTGTAAACCACCAACTATGCTTCGATACTCAATTGGATTCAAAACAGGACTTCCACGTTGAGAGGATAACTTGCAACTGATCACCATAGGAGTTGGTAGACTCTTTGCTTTATCAAGTCCACTTCTCCCGATAAGCTCCTTGATATACTTCCTCCGATGAAGAAACATACCATCACAAGTATACTCAACCTAGATATGTAAGAAGTAGCTAAGCTTCTCAAGATCCTTTAAATAAAAAACAACATCAAGGTTAGTAATTACTCATTGAATCTCATCACTATTACTACTAATAAGAATTATGTCACCGACGTAAACAAGAAGATAAAGAAAACTATCATCATACTTTCTAACAAATAAAGATGAATCATATTTTGATACAACAAAACCTTCAGTCACCAAATAACCCCCGAGTTTCTCAAACTAGGCTTGAGGTGCTTGTTTCAAACCATAAATGGCCTTGTTAAGTCGACAAATCATTGTCTTTTTATCTCCTTGTTCATACCAAAGATGCTGAGACATGTATACCTCCTCAGCAAGATTACCATTCAAGAACACATTATTAATGTCAATTTGACGCAAATCCCATTTCCTCGAGACAACAATAGAAAGAATTGTCCGAACGGTGACAGGCTTAACCACTGGGCTAAAGGTTTCATGAAAATCATGGTCTGCATGTTGTAAGTATCCCTTAACAACAAGTCCTTTATAATGGGCAACATAACCATCAACATTCTTTTTAGCTTTAAAAATCCACATGCACCCAACTGCAGTTTGATTAGGTGGTAGTGGCATTAGCATCCAAGTGTTATTTTTTACCAACGCATCATACTCCAACTGTGTAACATGCTTCCAAGCTGGATTTTTCATAGCATCAGCAATAGAACAAGGCTCACCTTCATCCCAATCGAAGGTAAACTACTTACTTAAAAAACCTTGGGTTTTCGAATCCCACTCTTACTCGAGTTTGCATGGCATGTCTGTTCTCAATTGGAACAGAAACAACAGAAGCTTGCAAATCAGCCAAAGAAATAACACATTCACCCTGTTGAATCAACAATAGGAATATCAAAAACTCCTTGTCTGGAACCCTACACACCAGATACATCATTATTAGAAGATAACACATGAGTATCAGGATTAGCACATTCATCAGTAGGAGAAACCACAGTGTCTTGCACATCAAACTCATTAGCTAATGAAGTACTAAAGTCATTGCCTACAAGACTATTATGAACCAAACCATATGTAACAAACCGAGCTGAACTCTGTGGACTAGTGGAGTCAACATTTGTACCAATCCCAAGTGGAAGACTAGACAGACCTGTATCAACAACATTTCGCATAGATCGAAAATCACCTACACTAGTAAACACAAACTCATCAAACGTAACATGACAAGAAACAAAAATGCGTCCACTCATGTCAAGACACTTGTAGTCTTTGTGAGCAGTACTATAACCAAGGAAGATACATTGTCTTGATCGAAAATCAAGTTTATGCTGATTAAACGGTCGTACAAGAGGGTAACAGGCACATCTAAACACACGCAACATAGAGTAATCAAGTTTTACTCCAAAAAGAACTTCATGAGGGGACTTATCACCTAACACACCAGTAGGCAGTTTGTTAATCAAATGAATAGCAGTGATGAATGCATGAATCCAAAAACCAACAGACAATGAAGCCTGAGCTAACAAGGTAAGTCTTATTTTCACAATGTGTCGGTGTTTTCGTTTTGTCGTACCATTTTGTTATGAGATTTTGGGACAAGAGACCCTATGTTAAACACCATACATGAGCAATCACTGATGAAGAGCCACAAACTCACTTCCATTGTCCATCTGAAGTGCCTTAATCTGACATTCAAATTGAACTTCGACCATTTTATGAAAATTAAGAAAACATTTATACACTTCAGACTTTTTCTTCATCAAGTAAAGCCAAGTATGTCTACTAAAAACATCAATAAATGAAACATAATAACAATACTCATCCGATGCAACAGGGGCAGGACCCCATACATATGAGACAAAAAGTTTAGAAAGAATGTTATACCTACTCTCAGACAAATAAAAAGGCAACTTATGCGTCTTACCTTGCAAACAAGCTGAACAAATATTAGGCATTTTATTATCAATAACAACCACATTACAATTATTAAGAACAATCTTTAGCACATTCAAATTAGGATGGCCAAGACATTGATGCCACATATGAAGAGATCTTGTGTTTTTGCTCACAGTCTTAGCCTCAATACCAAACAAACCAAAAGAATGACCACCCAAATCATTAACAGAATCGGATACCTACAACCTATACAGGCCATTAGTAGTGTGCGCCCTTTCATCAACAAAGCATGATTTCGAGAATCCTTCACAAAACACTCATGTGGATAAAACTAAAAAAATGTTGTTATCACAGGCAAAATACGAAACAGAAAGCAATTTTTTTCCGAATCGAAGGAACAAATAAAAGATTATCTAACCTTAGAGACCTTAACTTTGAAGGTAAAAAACCTTGACCAATATGTGTAAAAGAAACAACTTCACCATTACTGATAAGTATAGAACTCTTACCTATGTATGGAGCTACAGTATGAAGATTAGATCGTTGATTTCTGATATGATACCATATTATGATAGTGAATGTTTCCAAAGAAGAAAAGAATTTACAGAAAGCTTATCAGTATCAAGCTTAGGTAAATGTTGAACAACAGTTTGAAAGAGAACTCCCAGAACCGTCATTCGCACCACTGATCATTGGAGAAAAACGACTACCATCATATTATGATACCATATTATGACAGTGAAAGAGTGACGACTTTATTCACTAACCTATAATATCTTGTAGAGGATCAGAGAAATTTATATAAAGGAAAGAGCACAACTAAAGAGGTAAACAGTCTAACAGAAAATCCTAACCGTTCTCCAAACCTTGCTTATAATGATAATAGATGCCTAACAAACCTATGAGCATCTATAACAAACACACACAGTATAGTGGAGTCATAATATGCTCGTGTTCTTTTAAAAAATTAATTAATTTTCAATTACTTTAAGACATTCAATGTAAGATCATTTGCAAAAATAATTCATAATTAACAAAAAAATGCTTAAATGTTAAAACTTTTTGTTCAGAGCCAATAGCTTATAAGTGTGAATCTCATTAATTACGAATAAAATTTTGAAAAATATATAAAAACCCGTATTCTATCATTTTTTTAATGTTATGCTGAAATTTAACCGATTTTTACAAAAATGATAAATTTCAAAAGACAAATGCATAAATCAACTAGGTTAATTTTCAGAATCTGCAACAGGAAATCCAAAACCAGGCTGTTGGATGGGTAATAATAGTATAGTAATTTATATCAACCCTCTTCATTGGCATCAGGTTAGTCGCAGATTTCACTAAATCTATTAATAACTAAAACCCAGGTGCAAAGCTGCAACAGAATTACATTACTCAATATAAAACTCTGATTCAGAATAGAAATTCTCCAATCCATGAACACCTGTAAACCAAGCTTAAACTACAAGCCGTCAATGAATAGATTAGTCGTTACTTGATAAATCTTTTCAAAACCTAATCAGTCCATCTTATAGACAAATGGCACTGATGCTACTGTCATTCGGTTGAAAGAGTATATTTCAGCTGAAATGACCAAGGTTCAATTGCTTTGCGTCTTGCAAAATCGATCAGAATGTATTTGGATTTTGTCTCTCTTCATCTCACAGATAAAATCTGCAAAATGATCAGCACAAAAGATCAGTATTTAAATCTAGAGTAGGCAATTTGTGATTTGGACACACATTATATGACTTATTTTACAGACACATTGCACTTTGCGTCACCACTCATATATGCTTCGGACTATGAATTGCAAATACTAATAAAACACGTTTTTAGAGAAACAATATATATACAATACATGATCTGGAAATCATACTGCCATCAATGTCAAATAAGACAAAATCACATACAGTTCCAAGGAAAACAGACCCAATATTTGTGGTCACTTCATAGATGTTGAGCTCTCCAATCAACTGCAAAATTCTCATCGCTGTCACCGTCACTAGATGAATCTTCACTGTCAGATTCCTGTCTATCAGCTTCTTTCCCTTTGCAACGTTTATTCGATCTAGTGGACTCCAATTCCAGTTTCCTCTTCCATAACATTTCGACTTTCTGCTTGTAAACCCTGAATGAGGAAAAAGATAAATGAACTAGATGAATATGATACTAAGTTGCCTTTCATTCACAATTGAAAAAAGGTGGATGAGAGCCACAAACCGTGACAAGCACAAAAAACTTACTTTTGCTCCAAAGATTCAGCCTCTTCGATCGTTTCAGCTGCATCAATCTGCATGTTGGAAAACATAAAATAAGTCTAGAGTGCAACTGAAGCTATAGTGGATGCTACAAGGAGAGAAAAGGACCTAACCTCTTCTTCTTCCATACGATTGTCCACCACTTGCAAATCTTCTTGAATCAACTTTTCAAATTCCTTGTACTCATCTCTGGCCAGGATGCAGAATTAGTCAAGGTATTGTAACGAAAAAGATATACAGGTAGGAGAGAATTTTAGCCAATTATCCTATGCAAATTAAATATTGAAGCAGTAGTTCAATACCAGCTCATATCGCAAAAGTTATTCAGGCACTTGTCTTTGGTATAAGATATGATCAGAAGACTAGAATAAAGCACAACAAAAAATGGTGCATTCAGTGTGAAGATGATGAACAGAATGGGATAAAACTATCTCTATCCCACGATTAGTGTTCACCTGATGGGCATAGGATGACAAATAGGATCACCTAATGTAGGATGACTCAAAAGGTATTTTCTTTTATTTTTGAAACTTACTGAATATCCCTGTTTTTCTAGTTCTCTTTGTATCCCTAAAAATTTAAAATTATTTTCATTAGATAACTGATTTTTAAATATAATCATGCGGGGAGGTAGCATAGACTAATTTTCTTATGCTTACACTCGGTAGATGGGATAATCTCAGCGAATCCAAACTACTTTCTTATCTTTGACAAAATTCTACCTGAACCCTGTAATATATTTTCCTTCACACACATTAAGCAGACTTGTTATAGCCTTTGTTTTTCCCCCCTGGAGGTGGCCATATTACAGCTGGACATTGTTCCATGGTGGCTCTACAACCCTAAACCATAGTGTTCTACATCCAACTTCAATTTTACATTTAGCCCTTATTCTATATTTTTAGAACTGTTTCGGTGTTTCTTCATTGTTTCCGCCTCTGAACTGCATTATAATCTTTATCCTATTCTCCATTTGACATGTCTAGCATTAGGCGGACAGTGATTTCTGTTTGCTGTGCATGAATAAGAATAAAATGACTATTTTGACTGACTCAACCAATGAATGTTAAATGCATTTTTTTATTTGAGGAAAAGCAAGTTCTAAGAGGTAGAATAGAAAGCCTACAAATAAGAGCTTCTAAGCACATAAAAAGTCTCTCTGTTTCAAGAGGATTGAGTAAAGTTCATACTACAAGTAAAAGTTATCCAATTAATTATATTAACATCCTCTTAGTAGTAAAACATGGTTTATTCTATGTTATCCATCAATTCATGTATATCAAACACACTTAACTACAAACAGAATTCATTTAAATTGAAATAGTTTCTCAAGAGAAACTTAGTTACGAACTATTATCAGCTAATTACAAAAAGAAGAGATAGTAGTTGACTAGTTGTGCCGGAAAACCTTGAAGTTGAACACTAATGTAATTTGTTTATCATAGTTTCTAGTTTTTTATACTTCCCCTCAAAAGAATAGCTTCAAGAAAGATATATAACTTTCAAACCAGAAGACAATGGTTTTTCAAATATGCATTAATTCATCTAAATAGGAACTTACTTGACATCTATTTTAACAGGCTTAATGCCACGAGCACGTAAATCAGCTTCCTTATTGTCAAAGAATCCTTCAGGAAGAGCTCCCTTTACTTGCTTGGTTTCCAGAGCATTTCCCTGCTCTGACGCCTGTTTATTCTCCCTAGGAGGCTCCAGAGGTAACTTGGCATCATCCTTATCGAAGAAGTCATCAGGAAGAGATCCTTTCACTTTCTTGGTTTCTAACTGAGTCACCTGTCTTGAATCAGGAATCTGAGTCACCTTTGTTTGAATGGCAATATTTTGAGGAGAACCATCCTCCTCAGTCTCTGGATATGGAGACTCCTTTGCATGAGTTTGGGCTGAAATTCCAAGCTTTTTGTTTGAATTAGGATCTGTCTTCTTTGCAATCTCTGTTACATAAGTGAACTAATTATGTCAAGTCTAATTACCATTACCTACTATAAACCTACGTTTTCGTTAGGGAACCAATCTAAATGCAGTAAAAAACAGAATAAAGTCATAATCCGTAGCTATTACCTGTTTTTTGCTTCCCCGCCTCATGATTATCAAAAAACCCTTGATGCAGCCCAGATTGTGTATTGCTAGCCTGAGTAAGCCTAGCTGCATTAGCTTTCAAGGTATTAATTGCCTGTTCCAACATAAAGCCTCTGATAAGTATATTGAAATAAGATGGATAATAGTATAAGTATGGAAGCATGGAACAAATAACCAATGAGGAAACTAAATACCCTAATAGTAAGACCTGGGGGGGTAATCATGTATGAAGCCAGGGTATTTGAATTCCTGTTCTACCTATTTCTAAACCTACCATAATAGGAAACCCCAAAACTGAAAGTACAATTAAGTTTTCCCTAATTTTTTATAGGAAAAGGGCCTTAAAACAGAATGAGTGAGAAAGTTAGAGAGAGAGAGCGTGAGAGATCGTTTGGAAGTACTTCCTCAGACAAAGCTAGATCGGAGCCTGGAGGAGTATCTTGGGTTGCTTTTGTGGATAATCTTAGTAGGAATGTAACCATAAGTGCATTATGGGAGCGTTTTAGTCGACTGAGCAAAGTGACTAAGGTGTTCATTCCGTCAGTTAATAAGAGATTTAATTATAAGTATTGTACGTTCGCATTCATGCATTTTGCAAGCAGAGAAGATCTGCTGTATGCTATGGATAAGATGAACAACGCTTTATTGGACGGGAGGAAGATTTCGGTGACAATCGCGAAGTATCAGAGAAAGAGCTTTTAGAGGAATTCGGAACATAATAGTGTGGTGGGGGTCAGGATGGCTGGAACGGAGGAGCAAAATGGAAGAAGTGCAAAAACTCAATTTAATGATGGTGGGAAAGGAGCAGTATCCATGGTTGAGGATGGAGGGACAAGGAAGCAGATGAGCAGGTTTTATGATGGCAGGTCATACAAGGATACGGTTGAGGGAGTGAAACTAAAGGAGACTCAGAAAGCGAGTAGGAATGAAGAGAAGAGGGGAGAGAAGAAGCCCTTGCAAATATTCGTTCCTGTAGAGGATAGGACATGGCTGAGATCGTCATTAACAGGCATTTGCAAGCCAATCTTTGAAATTGATTTCGTGCAAAGGGCTCTAAGAACGGAAGGGATCAATGTCAAGGTGATTCGTTGGGGTTATGCGAAAGGCTCTAGCTTAGTAGTGTTCCAAACAATCGAAGAGAAAGTTGCAACGATGAAAGGAAAGTGGGAGACTTTATCCTTCTGGTTTGAAAGGTTGGAGCCTGTTCTGGACGATAATGGTATGCCACTACCATATTGTGAAGTTTCTTTGATGGGGGTTCCTTTAAATTGTTGGTCAGATCCATTTTTTACAATGCTAGCTTCGAAATGGGGCAAGTTGGTGAAGATTAAGGAACAAACAGTTAATCGAGTGGATTGCAGGGTGGCGCATATGCTGTTGAGGGTGGAAAGTCCGTTTGATATCCCACCGCATGTTATAGTTAATACTTTAGGGAGAGTGTTCTGTATTAAGTTAAAGGTGGAAGGTACCGATGATTTTTTTCCGGTTTTAGATGATGCAGAGGATGGGGTCGGAACAGTGGATCACGGAAAGGACAGCTCGTCGAACCGGAATCATGAGGCGGAGGTAGATAGTCAGTACGAGCAAATGGGTATTCAGGTGGGGTCTGATCCTCAGAATAATGGAGAAGAGTTGGGTAGGGATGTCTCTAATGTGGATGGCATGTGCGGAATTGGGAGTGGGATAGAGAGAATACCTTTTAATAATATCGAGGATAATATGTGCTCAGAAAGGACAGAATCAGGTGGAGTTCCAGGTCAACAAATTGTGTCGGAAGCATGTTTGGATGGAAGAGAAAGGAATTTAAACATGGGGGATCTCACCTTGGGACTTGGTAAGGCTGACCAAGCTAATGGGTTATCAGTAAATTTGGATTTGGTAGAAGCTATTGGGACACCAGTTGTATGTGAGGATAATTTAATACAAAGTGGGAAACACGTGGATATGGAAATGGAGGATTCAAACTTCTCGGCTGAGAATGCATTTTTGGTAAGCAATGGAGGAACGCAAATGAATGAGGAGATGGTTAAAGGTCAGGAAGATGATCTGATTCAGAGGATGTTTGTTGGACAGAGTAGTGGGGACAGAAACCATATTTCCAATGAATTAAATAAAGGAAAACAGCAGTTGGGGGTTATAGATGATGCACAAAGGGTTTCAGTTGTGAGTCGAGAGGGGATCAGTTCGTTGCTACCTATGGTTGATAATTGCAAAACATTGGGAAATATGGGGATTAGTTTTAAAAACTCGGTCCAGTTTCTCTCTCGCCCAAGAGGAATTGATAATCATAGGAAATTAAGACTTGTTTCAAACAAGTCGGGAAGTGATTGCTCGGAGGGTGAAATCTCAGTTAGCTTTCACGAAAGGGTGTATACAAGGGTGAATAGGGGTTTGGTCAGGGAACATATGGATCTGGACACAGCTAATTCAGGGTATTCTCAATTGGAAGAAAGTGCTAGAAATGAAGCCGATACTACCAGGGAGGTGTGCGATATGTTGGGGATTTCATTTAAAGGGGGACAACATGTTTTGGAAGAAGAAATTATGAAGATGGAATTGAAAGGGTCTGCCTTTTGAGGGATTTTAAGATTTATTGATATGAATAATCTTAATATTATTTCTTGGAACATAAGGGGTTTAGGGAGGAAAGAAAAAAAAAAGAGCAGTAGCTCGACTTGTAAATAGGAACAAACCGGTTTTCTTATTTCTGCAGGAGACGAAACTAAATCGAAGCTCTAATGGGCTGTGTAGAAGATTAGGAGGTAAGTTGCTTCAAGGTGAGAGTTTTTATCCGGCTGATGGGTCAGCAGGAGGTTTGATGTGTCTATGGAATGAAGCTTTGTTTCAAGTTACAAATGAAGAAAAAAACAGCAAATTCATTGCAATTTCAGAGAAATTCAAGGGGAATTTGTTTGAATGTGTGTTAATTAATGTGTATGGCCCGTCTGTTGAGGAAGAAAAGGAGTTCTTTCGGGAGTTGTTGAATTTCGTTTCAAATGTAAACCTCCCAGTTTGCTTAGGAGGAGATCTGAATGCCTATCTTAATCCATCAGAAAAATAAGGCTTTTCGCAAAATTGGCATGCCTTAGATTTGCTTAGATCCTTTGTTCAACAAACAAACCTCATTGATCTCCCATTAGCAGGAGGTACATACACTTGGTGCAACAATAGAGAGCAGGCTACATGGGTAAGATTGGACCGTTTTCTGGTTTGTAGCAATTTTCTACAGGGGTTTCCTAAGGTGATTCAAAGAATGCTGCCCAAATCTCTCTCTGATCACAATCCAATTGTGCTGGAAGAAGATAGGCAGAACTGGGGCCCCAAACCTTTTAGATTTTTTAACTATCTATTAAAGGAAGAAGGTTTTGACAATTTGATTGAGATTTCCTTAGCTGATTTGGAGAAGAAGAGGGGAGGTAGGGGAATCTTCAACATTCTAAAAGATACGAAAAAGAGGATAAGAAATTGGTCCAACAATAATCACATGGGGATCTCAGAGGCTATTTCAGATATTGAGTATAAAGTTAATGATTTGGAAGTGAAGTCACAAGGTGCCGCCTTTTCTCAGCAAGATAGGGATCAGTTAACGTTTCTCAGAAGTGAGTTATGGAGGCTGCACAGAATAGAGGAAAGCATTTGGTGTCAGAAGTCTAGAGTGAGGTGGGTAAAAGAGGGTGACAGGAACACGAGGTTTTTCCACTTAAGTGCATTGAAAAGAAACAGAACTAATGCTATCAACTTCTTGAAGGTGGAGGGTGCGGAATTGACAGATATAGTTCAAATAAGGTCACATGTTTTGAATTACTTCAAAAGAGCGTATAATACGATTTCTACGCTGGAAGTGGGGGAAGTTAATCTGATTTTTGCAAAGCTATCGGAGGAGCAAAGAGATGGTCTTGAGCAGAGGTTCTTAGAACAGGAAGTTTGGGCTGCAATTTCTTCCTCAGCTAGTGACAAAGCTCCTGGACCTGATGGCTTTTCTATGGGTTTTTTCAAGAAATATTGGCCTTTGTTTAAGGAGCAGATCATGAAATTTGTCAGTGACTTTTACAATGGCAGACAATGGGATCACGGAGTTAATCACGCATTCATCTCCCTTATACCTAAGAAGCATAATCCTGAAAGTTTAGAAGACTACAGACCTATTAGCCTTGTGGGCAGTCTATACAAGATTATTTCTAAAGTTCTATCCAAAAGGCTGGTTTCTTGCATAGATGACCTCGTAAGCCCTTTTCAGTTCGCATTTATCCCGGGTAGACAATTGTTAGACTGCGCTTTTATAGCTAATGAAGGTATAGATTATTGGAGGAAGCAAGGGAGGAGGGGGGTAGTTTTCAAAGTGGATTTTCGAAGAGCATACGATTCAGTGGAATGGCCGACTCTTCTTAAATTATTGAAAGTTATGGGTTTCGGGGAAAAATGGATTTCTTGGATTGAATATTGTCTTTCTTCAGCCCTCAATTTCAGTTCTCGTGAATAGCTCTCCTACTGACGAGTTTCTAATGATTAAAGGGTTAAGACAAGGCTGCAGTCTTTCACCTCTTTTATTCAATTTAATTGGCGAACTACTTCATCAAATGTTGACCAAAGCTACTGATTTGGGTCTGTTTCATGGGTTTGAAATTGGTAGATCAGTTAATCCTTTCCATTTATCTCACCTACAGTTCGCGGATGATCTAATTCTATTCTGTCAGGATTCACTATCAAATATCCAAAACATCAAAAGAGTGTTGAGGATCTTCAGCTTGATGACAGGGCTGCACCTAAACCTTTCTAAGAGTAAGTTGTTTGGTATAAATGTTGAAGATGAGATCTTAAATGTTTGGGCGAATGAAATTGGCTGATCAGTGGACTGTTTCCCCATGGATTATCTTGGATTACCTATAGGTGCAAGAAGGAATTCAGAAGTACTTTGGGAACCGGTTTTACAGAATTTTAATAATAAACTAGCTGGTTGGAAGGCTAATTCTTTGTCAATGTCGGGCAGACTGGTGCTTATAAAATCGGTACTGTCTTCGTTACCGATTTTCTTTTTATCCATGTTTAAAATGCCACTCAAAGTCAGACAGAAAGTTAATTCTTTGATGGCCAATTTTCTTTGGGGGAATAGCTCAAACAGAAATCGTATGCACTGGGTTAGATGGCAGACAGTTTGCTCTCCTTTGGAGGCCGGTGGTTTGGGAGTTTTGAACATGAATATTGCAAATAGGGCCATGTTGGGTAAATGGGTGTGGAAATTTGCAAATGAGAAGGATGCTCTTTGGAAAAGGATGATATGTAGCAAAAACAATGCGAGTAACTTATCATTGTCAATTAATAATGCTGTTTCGAATCAAGACTCTTGGATTTGGAAAGGAATCGTGAATAATTTTTTGAAAGATGATGACATAAGAGGTTGTTTGAGATCTCATACTAGGGTTCAATTGGGGAATGGCAAGTCTATTTCGTTTTGGTATGATGTTTGGGCAAATGACTTACCATTGAAGACACAATTTCCTAGAATTTTTGCTTTATCCACTAATAAAAGGGGCAAGGTGGCTGATTTTGGTAGTTTTGATGCTAATGGGTGGATGTGGGATGTTCAAACAAGAAGGAGCTTAAGTGATTGGGAGTTGGAACAATGGGTCGAGCTTCTGGAAACAATAAACTGTTTTAAGGTATCTGACTCATTGGAGGATTTTCTGTCTTGGTCTGGGAAAGGGGATGGTCTGTTCTCAGTGAAAACTTGCAGGTTGGCTTTATCAAATAGTCAAGATGAGGGTTTTTCTTGGAAGAGGATGGTTTGGACAGGTTTAGCTCCCCCGAGAGTCGAAGCCTTCCTTTGGCAAGTCACTCACAAGAAATTGGCAGTCAGAATGGAGTTAAAGAAGGGGGTTATTGTGGAAGACGTTCTTTGTCCACTTTGTAAAATGAAGAATCAGTCCAGCATCTTTTTTATTATGCTCAGTGATTAGGGATCTTTGGAACAGATTTCTAAGGATTTGGAGTATCTCAACAGCCTTGCCTATTGATCCTCTAGTTTTGTTGAGTTCTTGGTCTGATTAAAAAGAGACTCAACCATTTGGAAATTATCCCAGCCGTTGTTCTTTGGTCTATTTGGAAAACAAGGAATTCAATTGGTTTGAGAATTGTAGCCTTGATATTACCTCTCTCTTTTTCATTATAAGATTTAGGTTGGCTAAATGGTTTCTAGCTAAGTTTCCACATCTCAAAATTCCAGTAGATGTTTGGTAGGGGACCCCTCGATTGCAGAGACAAGTTTGATCTTAAGAAGACACAAAGATGTGAGACTCATTGTTGGCTCCTCCCCGACAGATTTTATAAGTTAATGTCGATGGGGCTGTCAGGTCGGATGGAAATGCTGGAGGAATTGGAGGTCTTTGAGAGACTGTAATGGTATAATTTTATCTTTCTCTGTAGTATTGGTCCAGGACCTCCGCCGTTGGCTGAACTGAAGGCTATTAAAAAAGGCCTAGACCTTTTCGTTTCATCAGCTTGGGCTAAAAAAGGAAGACTGATCATGGAAAGTGACTGCAAATCTGCAGTAGAATGGTATTGTCACCTATTTCTGTTCCTAATTTTTTCAGTTCCCTGGTCTTAGATATTGCTGCCTTAGTTCGGGGGAGGGCGGTTATTATTCGATGGATTCCTAGGGGCTGTAATTGGGAAGCAGATAAGTTAGCTAAGGATGGGATAGGTAATTGTTAGGTCTTGTTGTAATGTTATGTAATACTCTCTTATTATAAACTAAGGCACTCTTTTCCTCCTTCCGCGATACTTCTGTCAAGAGGTAACCAAGAAGGAGGTTTTTAATGAGGCCTATTATTCCTATCAAAAAAAAAATAGGAAAAGGGCCTCGTTAAAAACCCCCCTTCTTAACAGTAAGTTTTCCCTAAATTATTAACTAGTTCCAAGAATAGTTCAAGAAAACTCAACCATCATTGATTTTTTGGCAGGTAAATTAATATAAAAAATGCAGCATTTGCAGCTAAATGACCTCACCAAAACCTTGCCAAAATTGAATAAAAATAAAACAAATGAAAAATTACTATAGATCAGAAATTGTATTGAAAACCATATCTATCCCTCTGATTCAAAAGATGATAATGATATCTAGTGCCCCTAATTTCAAATTAATAAATCACCATCTGAGAAACTACACAATTTACACGAGAACTGTCAAAAGCACACTGCAAAACCTTTTCAGATCAAAAGTGAAACAACAGACAGAAGAACACATGCCCTAAGACGGAGTTAAACAACAGGGCATGTTCTAGCTTTAATGTACTCAAACTTTTCCTCAACCTTGCATAAGTACACTGTAAACCATTATTTTGGCAACAGAGATCAGCTAATCCAACAAAAGTAACTCCTTAAACTTCAGAGATTATTTTAAAAGAAGTAATATCAACAGCCTTTGTTATGTTGTAGCATTCTCACCACACCCTATAAACATGACTTAACTGTCTCCAAGACCAAATCAGTTATCTAAACACTGCTAGCAAGTAGCAAAGGAACTCAACATCTTTGAACATGCCTTGTGAGTTCTCACATTAGCATTATGACAGTATTTTGAACCCACCTTTAGCAGCTACTTTGTGTCACGATTTGAATGTCAATGCACAAGGGAGGAAAAATGATTACCTCATGATGTTTACGTGAAGCTTGGTGTGCATCCCAATGGGATACAGATTTCAAAACAACTTCACAAACCCGACAGACAGGTTGGTCAGATTCATTGTACCTTCATGTGCAAAAGAAAAGAAAGAAGTTACTTTCAGAAACAAGTTATAACTAATTAATGTGATATCAAAAGAAAATTTTGAAGATGAAAATCAATTGCCATGAACTATATCGAGAGAGAGCAATGAGACATTTCTAAAGAAATTATACCAAAAGAAGCACCAACACATCAAATTTCATCCATTAGCAATGAGAAAATAACAAGAATACGCTTTACTCATGCCCCCAAAAACTTAGAAGCAACATCCTCAAGTAAAAACATCGATTTTAGAACACATCCATAATAATAACCATAACATTAAGAATCATTCTGAAAAGCAAGAAGAATTCCAATGCAAGCATGAGAAAATTTCCCACAGAAAATTACTCCAAGTTTCAAAATGATATATTTCAGACCAATCCTTCAGAAAACAGAGACTGAAAAGCTAGAACAAGACACTTCAAAAAATTAACCAAAAAAAATATATTACCCAAGAAAAATGAATAATAGAAAAGCATTGCTAGAACAATTATATATTCATTTCATGGCTAGATTATATGGTCCTGAAGGGATAAATTTACTTGATAAGGGGATTATCTATGCGTTTCTCCTTCTTTGTGCATTCAATTGGCGCGAAACACTGCCTTGTTCTCCCTTGGGCATCCATTCCCTCGTCACAACCTTAACAATCAATAAAGCAATTCTTCTCCAAATTTAGTAACCTGTGTTATGGAAGGCGTAGATTACAACAACAATAGAAAGAAAGCAAAGAAATAAATAAACATAAAAAAGGGTTTGATTAAAGAGTGGAAATAAATGCTTTAATGATCTAACGGAAAATAAAACTGCTGGGTTCAGCCCGCGGATCCAATGGAATAAACAAATCAATTCGAAAAGGCAACCGAAAAATGAAAACCCAATATAAAACAGTGAAGTAATAGTACCTGGCCTCTTGAAAAGTTGGAAATTGAGTTATACGGAAGAAGAAGCAAGTGAAGTGTGAAAAAGGAGGAAGATGTAGACAAGCTACGAAACGAGGGATAATGGAAAGCTGCAGTTTAGGGATTGTATTTTTTATTCCCTTCAACGGGCAGAGAAACAGAAAGAAAGGGGAATATCAAATATGTCCTCATGCCCAAGTATAGTGAAAAATAAGGATAAATTCGATTTACTCTCTTAATTATTACTTCGATTCCGTTTTAGTCACCTGTTTATTATTATTATTTTAAAATCATACCTAAAGTTAAATTTTAAGTATTTTTTTAAAATAATTGATATTACCTTAAGGTGATGACATCTTATTTTCTTAGTTTTAATTTTAAGTATTTTTTTATATACATGTAGAGATAGGTCCATTATTGCCATTGGCGTCTTCGTTTCTCATAATCCTTCACTTGGTAAAACCTTTCATCCCTGCAAATATTTGTTGTTTTAATCTTCATTTTCCTTCCAAGGGTCTTCCTAACGTTTCGTGCTTTTGAAGGTATTGAATCATCGAACATGGCTGAAACTTATGTTGGCGCTGTTTTAGAAGCGGTTTTGTCAAAGGTGATTCCAATCACTGCAGAACAGATCAACCTTGCATGGGGTTTACAGGATGAGTTGACAAGACTTGGTGACTCACTAGAAATGATCAAAGCTTTCTTGCAAGATGCGGAGGAAGGTCGAACGAAGAACAACTCGGTGAAGCTTTGGTTGCAGAGGCTAAAAGCAGTTGATTACGAGGCTGATGATGTATTGGATGAGTTTTCCTATGAAATTCTCCAAATAAAAAGTAGAGAATCGGGAACACTTTGGGAGGAAAGTACTCAACTTCTTTTCTCCTTCCAATTCAATAGTATTTCGTTTCAATATGACTAATAAGTTAAGGACATCCTTAAATCTTTGGACGACCATAACAAATTGGTCAATCAATTGGTCTCCAGCAGAGTGCTGTGGATCATGAATCTCACACATTTGGAAGATCAAATGTGGAAAACTCTTCCATGGATGACTCAAACATTGTTGAAGGAAAACTGATGTCTCAAAAGTTGTTGACTGTTAGTCAATCCCAGTGATGACCAAGTTGTCTCTGTCGTACCTATAATAGGACCAGGTGGCCTTGGAAAAACTACTTTAGCCAAGCTGGGGTACAAGGATGTGAATGTCGAAGGCATTTTGATGTCAAAATCTGGGTATGTGTTTCTAATGTTTTTGATGTCAAACGGATTTTAAAGTAGATGTTGGATCATTTCCCCAATCAGCATACTTAATATCTGATAGTATGAATGCCATAGTCCAGAAACTTAAAGAGAAGATGAAGAGGCCAAAGGAGAGAAGGAACAGATAAAGTATCTTGTTCTTGATGTGTTTGAGTGTCGAGAAATGGAGGAACTTTGTCTTATAGGGATCTGTAAAATGGGGGGGAATGGAGTTGTCGTACGACGTGCAGTCATCAGTAGTGCAAGCATCCGAATCAATGGCATCAAGCAGGAAGACTGGAAGACGATGAATGTTGGTCGATAATTAAAGAACGTGCATCGAGAGGCTCTCCATGCCTCGAGAACTAGAGCTCATTGGAATAGAAATTGCTAAACAGTGTCAAGGTGTGCCATTAGTCGCTAAAGCTATAGCAGGGACGATGTGCAACTTGAAATAAGTCAGGATGCATGGATGAAAATTCAAAAAAAGTGATGTATGGGGTTCAATGGAAAGCGTGCTGAAATTGAATTTTGATCGATTATCTCTTCATCGTTAAAGAAGTGTTTGCATACTGTGCCATGTGTCCCAAAGATTATTGCTTTGAGAAAGACTAGTTGATCCAACTTTGGATGGCTAAAGAATTTCTTGGAAGCTTCATGGAAATGGTGGATATTGGTAACAAATACTTGAATGAATTGTTATCAAATACTTTATTCCAAGAAGTCGAGAAGGATACATTCGGGAATATTCTCACATTCAAGATGCACGACTTGGTACATGATCTGGCATTGTCTGTGTCAAAGTCTGATACTTTAATTTTTCCAGAAAAATTCACTTTCACCATAGATGGTCTCTCATATTCGGCATCTCAATATCGGTTGCGAGACGGGGAAGAATAGCATTAATGCTAACAACAGTTGCTCCAAACTGCATTCATTGTTTTCGGGGATTGATCTCTTCAAGAAACTATCAAGAACCTTCACAAGCTTGAGAGTCCTTAAGTTTTTTGGGGTTAATTAAACCCTTACGTTGCCAGCTTCCCTTGGAGAATTGAAGCACTTGAGATATTTCGACATCTCGAGACTTTCATCAGAGCAACACCGGAGTCCATAATCAACTTTACAATTGCAGACAATGAGACTCGTGGGTTTATGGGGACTCACACTTCCATATGGACTGAGAATTTGATAAACTTGAAGCACTATATTTGATAGACAAGAACATCAGCCAGTTAATATTGGAAACGATTTGTCTTCAAAGGTTACCAGTATTTTTCTTGAGTTCCAAAGGAGATCGGATCAAGGAGTTCATATGAATTAATGAACTCCATGAAGAGTTGAGGATATGCAAACCTTCAAAGTGTTAAACACAAACAAGAGGCTAACGGAGCGAATCTGCACCGGAAAGAAAATTTGTACAAAGTGATACTCGAATGGAGGTGGACGGTACAGACTGTAACAGTGAGCAAGTGATGGAAGTCTCCAACCACACTCATTTGCAAAGCTTGATTGTTGTGTTAACACCTATTAATGGTTCTAATACTGGTTGTTTGTACAAGTCTTCCACCTTTAGGCCAACTGCAGAACCTCTAATTTCTTAAGTTGAAAACTTGGTGAAGATGGAATACATGGGTAATGATTTCATTACGGTCAATGTAGGGGTGGTAACACTGAGGTGATCAAGGTGTTTCCTGCATTGCAAAAATTCACCTTAGAGGGGATGCAAAGTCTAAAAGAATGCACGGAAATGGCGACAGAAAATACGATCATGTTTCCTTGGTTAAGGAGTTGGAAATATTTGAATGTCCCTTGTTGGAAAGTGTTCCACAATGGGACAATGTTCTGCTCTTGAAAAGCTTCCTGGTGTACAAAATTAAGCAAGATTAGAGATGGACTGTCAACCTCCACTTATCTCAAAGAGTTATTGTTATTTCAGTGCCCAATTTAAGTTCGATCCGAATCTGGAAGGATTTTCCTCCCTTCGAAATCTTGCAGTTGATAGCTGCAACACATTGGAAGTTCTTCCAATAAAGGAAGATGTTCGTCCCTTGAAAAGCTCCAGATTATTGAATGTGTAACATTAAGCAAGATCGGAGCTGGACTGTCTACTGCCTCTTGTCTCGAATAACTAGAGATAAACTCTTGTCCCAATTTAACTTCCATTCCATATGGAAGGATTTTCCTATCTTGAAAGATTAAAATCGCTTCATGCAGCAAATTGGAGAGATTTCCACTGTGAGCACCATTGCCATGTCTAAAGAATTGAGAATAAGGTCTTGTCCTGATTTGAAGCACATTCCAAGTATAGATGAACTCTTCTCTAGCCGAATTGAAACTGATCGAAATAGGCGAAGGATTAAGTCTGCTGTCGAACTCATTGCTATGCAACACCTGCCTTTGCAATATAATGATATCCGATTTACCTGATCTGATATCTGTTCCAGAAGATTTGGGGACTGCATTCTCTTTATGATTTAACCATCATGAGATGTCCAAGATTGAGAAGCATTTCAGAAGACAACCTTAGAAGCCTTAACTGCCTGCGAAAATTAACCATCGGTTGTCTTCTAAAATGCATATTACAGCTCTTATTTGCTTTCATTTTACAGTCAGGAAGACCAAGTCAAGTGCTGCTTTCTTTCACTTAACACAAGGCCATTTGTTACAGCCAGGATGCATAGTTCAAGTGGTACAACAACAACACCTTCAGCATCTTGAGTCACCTTCAATGACAACTTCCACATTGATCCAAAGCTTCCAATCAACAGGACAAAGCTTCCAATTAACAAGACAAAGCTTCCCATCAAAAGACCAACAATTTAGAAACCTTAAAATGAAGTTTATGCTTCTTTTGTGTTTTTGTGTTGCATTGTCTTTACTCACATGAAGTCTCAAGATTTGACTTTGTTTACTCATTGAACTATTTGGGCAGTCGACAACTCATTTTGTTTAGATATGCATTTTGTATCTCAACTATTTTGGCAGTTAACTTCAATATATGGAACATTTAAGATCAATTTCCTTCAACATTACCATGAAGTACACAATCCCAAAAAGTAAAGAATACTATCCATTACAAGAAACTTAAAAGAAACAAAATTCCTTCCCACAACAACTACACATTACAAGAAATAAATTTTCCTTCAACAAAAACTACACCAACATTACAAGAAATAATTTCCTTCAACAACAATTGTCTTACCATCATTCATCTAAATACCAAATTTCACCATGAAGTACATTATCCAGAAGTAAAGAATATTATCTTATAGAATAAAGCACTGTCCCTTCTCTTTGTACATTTTACAATTTTCTTCAATTGTTGGTTTAATTTCCTTCAACAAAAACTACACCAACATTACAAGAAATAAATTTCCTTCAACAACAATTGTCTTACCATCATTCATCTAAATACCAAATTTCACCATGAAGTACATTATCCAAGAAGTAAAGAATATTATCTATAGAATAAAGCACTTGTCCTTCTCTTTGTACATTTTACAATTTTCTTCAATTGTTGGTTTTCAACTTTCAAATTCCTATTTTCTGTCATCAACATTTCCACTTGAAATTTCAAGTCTTCATCAATACATCCATTGCCTGGTTCATTGTCTACCCACTTAAAAAAATTACACCGATTTTGTACCATACAAAGAATTAAATTATTAGGCTATTAAAGCTTCAATGCACCGATTCTACCTACTGAAAAAAAAATTAAGAAACAATTTATTGCAAATCAAAACTTACCTCTTCGGTTGACAAGGCCCACAAAATTGTTTCCCTTTCCTCCATGGCTTATTAGAAATCCAAATAAGAGCTTTCATTTCACAATTACATTCCACGACCATTGAACCATAACGAGGTCTTGAACTTCCACTTGACATCCTTCACTCCCTACTTGCAGATTCCCAGAATTAACTTAGGGTTCTTCAATTAAATTTTAGAAAAGGAATGGAGAAAATGAGAAGAGAGTGACGGGGAAGAGAGCAAAATTTATTAGGGTTAAAGGTAAATAGTTTTTTTCTTCTTTTTTTTCAATTTCAATTAATTAATGTGTATTATTTAATTACAAAATTCATTTTGATTATTATACCCATGTCGGGTGGCATTTAACGTCCAAATTAATTGCCCATCACGGCCAGGCACCAAAATGAGTTACGAAATAAAACGTTTGTCTCAAATTAGACTCAAAAAACGTTAAAACCAAACTAAAAAAAATATGTTAGACACCTTTTTACTATTAATCCTTTTTAGCGATCATTATGAATATCATGGACGTGATTTTATTTTGAATTCATACAACTTACCATAAAATAATATAAAAATTCACTTTAATGATTTTAGAGTGTTTTTAACACTTAAACTTTAATACATGAACATAATTTTACAATCATTGATTATTTTATATTTATTTATAAATTTCTTAAATATTAACTCATAACAAATAAAAATAGAAACTATTAAACATTCATCAATAAAATAAAATAATATATACATCTAATCTCCCAAATAAATATAACCCATGAAATTACCAATTAATTAAAATTTAAAACTTATAAAAAAATAAAAAACCTTTATTATTTTTTTATAAAAACCCATAACATAACCCAAATCTAATTAATATATTGGGCTTCTTTTGGTCCAAACCCAAAACATTAAAGTAAAAAATTATTTAAAAGTAAATAAAATAAATAAATTATTAAATCTCCAGACCCTTTCTTATTCTATCGTGCTTGAGTGAGTGAAGGAAGGCAAAGACTCAGA